TTGCTGGTTGTCAACAAAAAGGGAGTTTATCACAGAGACGCAAAATGATAAGATTAAAAAACATACAAGTATTTTCATAAGAATTTTTTAATTGATATTTTGCACGAAAAAAATAGAAGAAAAAAATTGAATCCATATCCTCGGGTTACCGGTTTCCGCGCACTTAAGAAGCATCCACGATTTCGTACTCATATCGGCAGAAAACTGTTGAAATTACGGATGACTGTCATAAACATGTATACAATCTACTAATAGAAACAAAAAACTAGCAACATAAAACTGTATTTTGAAAAAATCAGAACAAACAATTTTTAACAAATTTCTCCCGTCGGAAGTAGCCGTCATATGTTTCCGTTTGTCTATTTTGATTTAGTGTTCAAAGAAAGATAACTCGAATACACTAAAAAGAACTTCTCTACAGAAAATTAATACTTTTTATTGAAACCTTCCTAACCGCCCGGGCGAAATTAATCATATCATTATACAAGAACGATAAAGGATTTTTTTTCGGCTGACAATATTATGTATAATCGACTAAACATATCCATTCAATTATTTTGGTATTATATATATTGTTGAAACTGATTAACTATCTTGTATGTACAACATAATATCTCATTGTGGTACTTATAGCTTACCATCGTGTACGTACAAGAAAGTATCTTCACACAGTATACTATTGTGTACGTAGAAATAAGTTGTACGTATACGTACCAGAATGAGATAATATGCTGTACTTACAAGTATGATAATTTTAAATTAAATTTAAAGGTGACGCGTATGTGCCTCCTAAGTTGTACCATTTTAACCAGATAGTTTATGCAAATGTACCACCGTTGGTAATATGCACGCCCTTACATGAGTTAATCAGTGTGGACATTTTAATTATAAAACGCGAGACTATATAGCTAGTGGCATTGGGTGTCGCACTGGTTTGAACTTATCCGTTTGTTTAGCAACTTAGTGATGCCATGAGTAACTCATTAATTAAACAGCAACGATGTTATGGTGTTATTTGTTCTTTTGTACGACAAACTATTACATGAAGTACTGTAGGTACAATGTCTGAAGACTAGATATTGTGCGTCCCTACATTTATTTTTTGACGGTGGACCTCTCGAATCCCCATTGCGGGCGGGACGCCAAATTAGGTAATAATGAACAAGCCCCCTGTGGATTCATACATTTGTCATCACCAGGTTGCCCCTATAATAATACCATCTGACTTCTAAAACACGCTGTTGATAGAGAATTTGAACCGAAACTTTAATTTTCTTTCCAGTACACAAAAAAAGTATTTGGGCCATACTTAAAATATGTTTTCTTCTTCTTGTTAATTAAACATAAAAACAATCCTCAGAACACGGGAAATCGCTTCTGAGACGTTCTAGAAAACACATTTTTTTGGGGGGGAGATCCCCCAAACACCCCTTACGGGAGGGGGAAGACCCCTCCCGTAGCCTCCCCCTACTCGCGTTACGCGCTCGGGGTTGACTATTGAGAAATATTTATCGGCCCCCCCCTTTTAGGAAATCCTGGATCCGCCCCTGGCCTATAGTAGTATTTTGTTTTGTAATAGTCCCCACCTCTGTTTCTATCCTTGGTATTATTTTTTCTGTAAGTGTTCTTTCTAAACTTATATCCATTTTACCTTTGATCTGAACATATTTCCCTTCGTTGTTTTATCTCTAATATCCTCTAGCTCTTTTTAGTATCTGTGGATATCATCATTATTTGAAATTCCCTCCCTTTTTTCTAAGTTTTGAATTTTGTTAATCAAATCGTTTTCTATTTTAGGAAGTGTTTTTTTTATAAGATTCATAAGAAATAGTTATCCCCCTAATTTCCATAAGTAAAGTTTCTAAGAATAACTGGTCATCGATGATAAATTGTATTTAATTTGTATTTATATTATCTAAATTATTTACATCATAAATTGTTAATAATAATTGGAAAATAGGATAACACATAAATATCGTGATAACACTAATAAGTACATGTACATATATGAAATAAGATATAACAGTTAGAAGGGCTGTTAATTGCTCTTCTAAATTGTTTTAAACATTATTTGAAATACGAGTTAAAGAAAGGTAATTACACCTATGTATTGATTTTATATCTAACTCTTCTTTAAGTAGTACGTTTTAATCAACAAATTAAAAATCGCCGATTAGGTAAATAATGTAAAAAAATATATCTTTTATTGTAAATACAATTGAATAGACAACCATTCCACATCCCATTTATCTATTTCCCAAGTTTAATTCTTCAGATGAAGATAAAACCATTACTTTATTAAAAACTAGTTTTATTGACACCCGACCAAATACAGTTTATCTGTAACAATATGAACATAATCTTTATTTATACAATCATATCTGAAATACCAGTAACGCTATTGCAGATATGTTTGAGTGTGGGAAATTTCGTATGACTATCTTTATGCGCCATCCCATCACCTATACTCTAACTGACCTACCCAGATTACACTTAGCCGCTCTAATGTAAGCAGAAAACAAGCCTTGTTTGTGCACAGAGAACGTAAGACGTATCAGAGGGAGTATTTCGTTACAAGTCTGCGTTTCTATCAACATTTTGTTAAAGTAATCAACTAGATGATTTCATACTAAACCGAATGTCCACCCATAATCACCACGCTTATCCGTTGTTAGACAAGAGGGTGGACCCCTGGCTAGGGGTCAGTGTTTAACGGACACCATATATATAGTGTCTCACTCCCAGTTTTATTAAAACGTCTACAGGAACACAGGATCAACATGACATCTGTGCTGTTAATATTGCTACTTGTACCAGCAGCAGGTAAGTCAGTTTATCCTCCGATAAGATTCCCCTTCATTTTAGCTGATTTTTGGCAACAAAAACGAAATAACGTAGCGACGAATAGCAAAATATCGGTGTTATGTGAATTCGGGCGCCGTGCGGATGCATTGACAACGTGTTCTTTTTATATACATTCAATTTCAATCTGTTATATACCAAGATATAATAATTGCATTATATTCTTTAAAATATATCAATCAATGCAATATTCAGGGGTAACGCAAATTTTCCTGGGAGTAAGATATCTTAAATATTCCAACACAATGGATGAAACAACTTGAGTTGTGTAAAAAATATGTTTACGTTTTGTCTCTGATAGAAAACGGATAAAATACATATATGAACCTTGGATGATTTTATTCCTTTTAAAAACAAAATGGACCGGAACCGTCGGCACTTTCCGTTCTCGTTTACGGAAAGTGCCGAAGATTCCCGCAACTATATTATTTAGGTATTATGTTGTTATATCTTCATGATAAATGTATTTGAATATGTTGTCATCTTTTAAAAGGGAGGCGAAAATAAATACCACATATATTTGTAATTTGATGACTTAAACAGGCTACATACAATGTAATTGCCAATACTTCGATATGGCATAGATATTAACCTATAAACGTAAAAATGTTATTTCAGAGAAAGTATAGCATGTCAAACATCAAAAGCACAGAAAAGATGTTCTATCTGTCAAATAGTTCAAAATTACATTCCGAATTATTCAAATATCCAAACGACATGTATTCCGTCTTTGCGTATTGCAGAGTTATCTTCTCTTGAGAACAGGTATTGATTGTTACGTCATTGGTTTGTGAGAGTAACGTCATCAATTTTTGAGAAAATGACGCAATTTTCTCACACAAACCAATGACGTAACAATCAATACCTGTTTTCAAGAGAAGATAACTCTGCAATACGCAAAGACGGAATACCTGATCAGGCAAACATTTTATCTACTCCATACGTAGGAAGTCAACTATCCAACTACCAACATTTTTACCTTTCCAATTAAATAGTTCAAAATCGCACACGTACATTTAATTAGTCAGCTATCCAATTACAAACATGCACTTAATCAACCACACAGCTAATCAATAACATACTATTTAGGCAAACATTCCATTAACAATATTATAATCACCCAGACAGTAAATCAATTGCATGCATTATCCCGTTGCCAATACAAGTACCTAATCAACCCAATAGTTAATGAATTGCATACCTAATTAGGCAATTACCCCATTTTTAATATATGTTATATTATTATTGTCAAAATAAATTTCAAATATTGAACACATGCATGTGATAAGACATATTTCTCATTACCATAATATGAACCTGATCAGATGAATAAGTAATCAATTACTTACCTATCGACTCAATCCATGCCTTATCATCCGAACAGGGTGTATCGAAAATAGAATTACGGTTGCAGTGAAACTCGACTGATATTAACAAAATAAAAATACTACTCGACTTTTAAAAGCAATACAACGATAGCCCCCTATCAGTCCAGTTGATACAAGGTTTAATGATCTCAACAACATATATTTGCACTGCGTCCCTAGTTTTATAATATTATTCTGTGACGCAAATAAGTATGTACGAGTCAGTTTTACTTTTATCCAAACAGTTGTGTATATATATAAGTTTTAAAAAGTGTCTACATACAATATAGCATAACATACCGTCGGGTGATATTTTAAAAAATGAGTATGTACAAAATGTATGATTTTCGTCCGAAAATCGGTCCACTCGTAATGCAAAACTAGTTTTGAAACAAGTACAGAGTATACCTTATCTCCGTGACCTCTGACCTGTCACCTATAATAGTACTAAATATTGCCCTTTACTAAGACTGTAATATAGGGCGTGTAATGACATACCTGTATAACTAATTATCTAACTACCAGTCTAAATACTCAGTAGGGCGTCCCATTTTAGATACCGAGATCATACGCCGGATAACGGGGCTTTGGGTACAATATAGGTCTATCCAGATAACGGGGCTTTGGGTACACTATAGGTATATCCAGATAACGGGGCTTTGGGTACACTATAGGTCTATCCAGATAACGGGGCTTTGGGTACACTATAGGTCTATCCAGATAACGGGGCTTTGGGTACACTATAGGTCTATCCAGATAATGGGGCTTTGGGTACACTATAGGTCCATCCAGATAGCGGGGCTTTGGGTACACTATAGGTCTATCCAGATAACGGGGCTTTGGGTACACTATAGGTCTATCCAGATAACGGGGCTTTGGGTACACTATAGGTATATCCAGATAACGGGGCTTTGGGTACACTATAGGTCTATCCGGATAACGGGGCTTTGGGTACAATATGGGTCTATCCGGATAACGGAGCTTTGGGTACAATATAGGTATATCCGGATAACGGGGGTTTGGGTACACTATAGATATATCCGGATAACGGGGGTTTGGGTACAGTATGGGTCTATCCGGATAACGGGGGTTTGGGTACACTATAGGTACATTGTATATCGTCCAGTCTATCGTCCAGTCTTCCCGTCAGATAACATAATTTAGTGACCACATTGTGTCCCACGTTTTCCTCACAATCTTTTGAGATTTACTGTATCTGATCAAATTATATCAGGATCTGTTTATCGAAAAAAAGGGATTGCTAAGTAAGATTCAGCGATACTTAGGCCGATTGCTTATATTCCTAACACATTTGAGTCATTCAACACACTTTGCAAAACGACTAGCAGAAGTAGGAAAGGCTTTTAATAGATTTATGACCAGTTAATAGGGTAAAAAAGGACCATGCCTTATTTGAGGTAAATTAAGTAAATGTTTCAACAAATTCAAGTAATGATTCAATTTTCCTGAGTCATAAAGTGTATTTTTGTAGCATTTCCAAAAGGCATCAGAAAGTTATACAAATAGTATATATACATCATTATAAACAACAAACGATAAAATTAAATTATATATCAAATTGAAAAAAAAATCCATATGAAATTTCTGTTGTTGAAACCTTTCAATCATTTATCCGAATCATTTGCAATGAAATTTGAGTATTATACATCAGCGACCAAAGTACTCTCTCGACATACAAGTAATTTAATGATACAAGTAGAGTTCCATATGCATCTGTATCAACACTTTTTGGATCATTCGAAACCGATCGAAATGCATATTTTTTACCTGCATGCAACGGAGCCTCAAGTTGGTTCTTAGTTCCTAGTTCCGTTTAAGATAAACGGAACTAGGAACCAGACCCTAGTTCCGTTTAACATAAACGGAACTAGGAACCAGACACTAGTTCCTTTTAAGAGAAACGGAACTAGGAACCAGACCCTAGTTCCGTTTAACATAAACGGAACTAGGAACCAGACACTAGTTCCTTTTAAGAGAAACGGAACTAGGAACCAGACCCTAGTTCCGTTTAACATAAACGGAACTAGGAACCAGACACTAGTTCCTTTTAAGAGAAACGGAACTAGGAACCAGACCCTAGTTCCGTTTAACATAAACATAAAAGTTTACTATACGGACCCCGATCTGGTTCCCAGTCCCGTTTATGTTAAATGGAACTAGGGTCTGGTTCCCAGTTCCGTTTACGTAAAACGGAACTAGGGTCTGGTTCCTAGTTCCGTTTAAGATAAACGGAACTGGGGTCTGGATCCCGGTTCCGTTTAAGGAAAAACGTAACTGGAGTGTGACACTCAGTTCTGTATAAGACCAATTCATTTATAGAGGCTATGGTAGTCTTAATTTTCGTGTGAAAGATTGTGGGTTCGATTCCTGTAATGGATTCAGATTTGAGTTCCCAGTAGATTATAAGAGGCTGGCTATGCTGTTTTTCTGAAGCAGACCTAGTATTTTGGTCGAAGTTCGATTGATAGTGTTAATTCAATTTTAAACGGAACTAGTTTCTGGTTCCCAGTTCCGTTTATGTTAAAAGTTCCGTTTATGTTAAACGGAACTAGGGTCTGGTTCCTAGTTCCGTTTACCTTAAACGGAACTAGGAACCAACTTCAGGCTCCCTGCATGCAATGCAGATCGGAGCAAAACTTTTAGATGTGTTTAAAACTAAAATAGACATATTACAATAAATCTATTGAACATGCTCTTGAATTATTTTTGTTTACATTCAAAAAACAAAATGAAATACATAATATAAATTTTAGTTAACTGTTTTACCAAATTCTGAAACGATCAACTTTTTAGAGGAAACATTGTCGACTTTTCCATACTTATGATTTCCATCACACGAAAACATTCGGGGATATCCGTCAATGTTTACATTTGATATCATTATATGACTGGCTGCTGTTTACGCTTACACCATTACGGAAAGACCCGAACGATTTTGAATCGTTGTGATATGCTTGCATAATTACATTTTTAGTTGGTACATTTGTATGTCATGTAAATACATGTTTGCATAAATACATAATGTGTATTCTGTTATCTATTTGAAAACATAAGCATATAATTATAAAAACAAGTGCTTCCATAGGTTCATCAGTTTAAAAATATGTAATATCAAAGTATGACTATTGTTTTGTTCAAAACCGGCTGGTCCCTTTGTCAAGCTAAACTAAGTAAGCGATTTGTATTGTTTACAGGTACAACGATACGACGAAATCGTGTAGTTCATATGTCACTCGACCTGGGACGTTTCGCCTGTCGAAAATGAAACGAGGGACATTATATCGGGGTTTCATTACATTTATGTTACTAGATATAGAGACAATGTGAAAGCATTTCCACATGTAATATCCTGTTGTGCGTTTCACATAACCTTTACTGTGCTCCTAATGATATGTCTTACCTTCACAGTGCTGTGTTACAACTGTAATGGTCGGACGGATGGTAACTATGAGATTGGTTGCCGGTCTTACCTGATTTGTAACGGGGGTACTCCTGCCATACACGACTGTCCCAGAAACGACACATACACCATGGTCTACAACAACCAGACAGGGCAGTGCGATGAGTGCGTACATATTTTCTATTTCATATACAATACAACCTCATTATACTGCCACCGGTTGCCCAATACAATTTGTAGCTATACCTTTGGCGTTAAAAGTGGGTTTTGCCATAAATTAAGGAAAATGTATAAATGAAATTTTAATAAAAGAAGAAAAATGGACATTGAGATTATTATGTTGGCGGTAAGCGAGGTGGCAAATGAAAGGAAGGGCAATACACCAAGGTTATTACCAGATATGTGGACAATAGCATAGGAAAGCATTGGTACTGTCGTATTATGCGTCCACGTTTCATTAAGTAATTAAACCTGGGACATCCAGAACTTAAATAAATTCTAATTGTAAACACTTAATAACATGACTTTCAAGTTATCTTTTCTCTTGTAAGACATTCAACAATTTCAATCACAGTTTACATATAGATCAAAACCCCCTCTTACATTTATCCACATGTACCAAAGTGTATATCGACCGTCTATGTAAACAGCGGATTAGGAAAATTAATCTACTTTTGTAGATACTGCAGTGTGCTCATCTAATGAAATCAAAAATATGTTTAAATTTCAATCAAATGACGTCATTATATATTCAAACAATTCATAGTAAGCTGCCCGTATAGTCAAGTTTGTGTGAGGATGCATATCGGTCCGATTTGCTTTCCTTGTGTGTTTCTTCTGTTCCTGTCGTTGTAATTGTTTTACTTATGGTCATAAAATGGACACGTGTTTTCTTATTTTAAATTATCTTCCATTTACTGTAACGCATTACAATTTATTTTATTATTGTAGCATGTGCATGCATACNTTATCTTCCATTTACTGTAACGCATTACAATTTATTTTATTATTGTGGCATGTGCATGCATAAACATTTCATACTTTCCAAGACGTAAGTGTAACCTATATATATATACACACTTTTCTATTTGTAGTCCATCCAATGTGATGCATCCCTGTGGAGTGGTGAGGGACTGTCTCGGTGTTAAGGACGGTCGGTACCCGGATGAAGAGGAGCACTGTAGATCCTTTTACACGTGTTACGCAGGCAAATTCCTTGGCCACAATTTCTGTCCATCACGTGAGTGAATTAACGTTGTATTAATTCCGTATATTATGATGATAGTATTATGATAAATAATTAATTTTGATTTGTGGTCGTCATAAATGCGAGACATCATTTCCATGTTCTTTAAGTGTTAAATCTAAACGCATGTGTCTAATTTTAAATCCCCTATTACATGTAATAATGGGTAAAGATTGCCTCATCGGCGATACGTAGAAGTGCGTTAAGCTTTATTTCAGTTTGCATAACGTGTTTACAAGATAATCTTTTTTTCTGTAAGTGAAAGAAATACTTTATCTTGTCTTTTGTCGTAAACAGCGGTTACAGAATGTAAATATTACTAGGGTACATGCCCTCTCCCTTCAATTTTCCAAATCGTATCTCAAGGACTATTTTTTTTTCTACTATGTCTACAACTACATGACTCACTCAGTGTATCACCAACACTTCTTTATAATGCCAAAGTCTGACTGGACAAATCCTATCAATATATAAAGAGTTGTTTCTTTCGATCGATTAGCGGAACGACGATTGATTTATATGATCGCCATATAACGCCAATTTTTATGCTAAGTGTCGTTATAACACCATGCATATTTGGCCTGCACTATGCATTCCGTGTTCAGACTATTTAGAGAGTTTCATGAGTAAAATATAGCACTGCAACTATGTATATCATACATTTTTACAGTATCAAGGAAGGTAACGCGTGACAGACGAAAAATTAGTCAACTGATGTGTAATATATACGATAATATAAGAAAACAAATCACAACAATGTTATTAATTTTTTTCACAGATCTTGTTTTCGATTCTGCAGAAGGTACGTGCAACTGGGAGAATGCAGTTGCGAAACCCTGCGGCTCCAAGGTCGCGGCAACACCTTAACAACAAAGGGAGATACATGTACATTGTTTATTTACATGTACAATTACGATATTAAAACACAATACAAACTGTCCGTTTCAGTTGTTACCTTATTTGGGGTTAGCAGTTTTAAGATGGGTTTATCTTGGGTTGGGGGCACGGTAGTCTAGTAGTAGGACGCCAGGCTCTTGACTGAAGAGTTGACGGGTTCGGTTCACGTCACGGCACTGTGTTGTATCTTTGAGCAAGATACTTTACTCCGCTTGTTCAAGTTTTCACAGCTGTACGTGGTTGGGCAGTGCTAGAATTGTTGAATACTAGCTGTGAGCGTCGAAATGGCAGCACCGGCTGTATGCTCCCCAGGGAGTTGGGAAAGTTATTGGCTGGTTGCAAAGGTCCTATAGCCACGGATAATAATTTGTGAACCGCTTCTAGACGACCTACGAACTAGGTTGTGCTAAAGCGGTATATAAGAACCTCGAATTATTATTATTATCAGTATCTTATATTCTAACTACGGAATGATGAAACATTTTTTTTAGTAAACTATACAAGACAATTTGAACTTTCCACAAAGAAACATCAATAGGTTTTGCACTTTAATTGAGTACGCTGTCAAGCTAGCATTTCACTTTATCATACAATGCAATAATACAATACTACAATAACAGTGTAGCTCTCTGTAGTTTATTAACCTTTTTAATAACAACAATTAACAATTAACATTGAAAGCGGAACGAGCTTATCTAGAAAAGTAAAATTAGCAAAATGGATATTATCGATTAAGCAAAAACGTTTACCTTTTCGAAACACCTGGTAAGCCAACTTCTTATTTACTGTAAAATGTCTGCTGTGTGCTCACTTTTGTGGATTAATCATTTATGCACTACAACTCGAGACACACGAACTTCAGTTCAGGGGTTATAAGTCTGTAATAGTTGTGTACCTATGACATTGCTTTAAACATGAGCAGACGAAGGGGTAAAAGAATTACTAATTGCAATGAAAAAACAATACGATTTAATATGTGAAAACCACGTCGATGGTTCAACGGGAGGTAACTCTAAAGTGTGTTACTCCAATCTCTAACCATAGTTATCGTTCCTTACACTTACAAATGTAAGGAACGACAACTCTGGTAGAGATTGGTGTTACTCTTCCGATACCACTCCTGTGTATAAGGCCACCTATTAAAATAGCGTGTTGAATATTGTACATCGTGTATAATTATGTGACATTTTTTTATTCTTGTAGCAGCTACAGAAGTGTGCGAATCAGATGGTGCGATCGTAATCAATTCGTTTCGTATCTATAGGAGGATGTGTAGTTTGTAGAGACTGTTTTATGCGCCAATCCAAACATATTAAAGTATTAGGTTTACATTGTACGAGTCATATGGCGCGATCAATCCAAAAACGTTTTTAAATGGCTCTGCCCGAATAGTGTTCGCGCGCTATTTTAATGTTTAAGAGTCATACCATAATGCAGTGTAACATGATCATGTCATCAATTTTGTCACACATTTCAAACGCCACTGATTCACCATCACAACTTGTATTCTCCAGTTCTTTGTGTTGTAGAAAGTGATATCTCAAGCTAGGGGAAATATGCATGGAGGTTAGAATTCGGCAAACCCTCGAGTTATACCTCAGAAACATTACCCTCGGGTTTACTCCAACAATGTTAGAGGTTTTACACGGCGAAAAACTTTTGACAGGCGCCGCGTAACCTCTAACTGCCCATAGCTGATTTTCCCGATGCTGACGATCACATTTTCAAAGTTCGGATTAAGAAAGAGTATATCGTGTTTACATACATTTAAATGGTCAAAAGGGTCCAATAAATATTCCTTTCCATAAATCCATGATTATTTGAAAACATTTCGTGTCAAAGACATAAATAATGAGTTTTTCCTCATTCGAAGCGAAGCAGACAGCATTTGCCATGATTTTTCCGGTTAATACAAAAATGGATTACATGTAATGTTTCACAAGTGGAATACAAACAAACTCCGTATCATTTCGTTCCGTTTGAAATCCCCCCTGCTATTTTGTATTAATCCAGAAGCAATGTTTTAAATGTAGGTCAGAGATGTGCTACAACGACATGGACATGTATTTTGAGTGTTCTATTCCGTAATATACTATATATTTGTGTCTGTGACATACATATGAGATCTATATTATATAAACCGTGAGTAGACATCGTTGTCATGAACTGTTAACCACTTAAGTGAGTTTTTCAAGCCGATTTTGTTCCGCCCGGATTTCGGGCGGAAACTGCATCAAAGAATTAGTGCTTCGGAAATGAGAGGTCGCAGTCGGCAAAATCATATCCGATTGAAAAAAGGCCGACCAGCGGCCTCTCATGTTATGGGAGTACCCTCGGGTTTAGACTTCCGTCCACATCACCAATTCCCGTTCGTCGAAGTATTCAGAAAACATTTGGGAAAAGCTATGTAAACAGGTATAACCTAAAAACAATTATCGTAAACACACACTGGTAATACAAGGCTAACTAAAATAAAGATTTGGTATGTATGTTCATGTTGAACAGGAATATACTAAAATACACGATGGTACCTATGGACGAATAGGAACATGCTAAAATACAGAAGTTCCTTGTTCACGGCCAATCAATAACATGCTCATCAAATGGCAAACACTTAAGTCGAGAACGTTTGTGTACGTGACTGAACAGTCGTAGTACACTACATTGTGGACAGGCAAACACTAAAGTAAGGAACGTTTGTGTACGTGACTGAACAGTCCCAGTACGCTACATTGTGGACAGGCAAACACTAAAGTAATAAACGTTTGTGTACGTGACTGGACAGTCGCAGTACGCTACATTGTGGACAGGCAAACACTAAAGTAAGGAACGTTTGTGTACGTGAATGAACAGTCGCAGTACGCTACATTGTGGACAGGCAAACACTAAAGTAATGAACGTTTGTGTACGTGACTGAACAGTCGCAGTACGCTATATTGTGGACAGACACACATTAAAGTAATGAACGTTTGTGTATGTGGCTGTACAGTCGTAGTACGCTACATTGTTGACAGACACACATTTAAGTAAAGAACGTTTCTGTACGTCACTTACAGGTACACACTATTGTACAGAGATACAGTTTATTAGAATGTGTATGTACGTAACTGAACTGTCATACACTTACGTACAAAGTGGAAGTTTATGTTCATTGTTGACAGGCAAACACTAAAGTAAGGAACGTTTGTGTACGTAACTTAACAATCATACACTACAATACGGAGTGGAAGTTAGTGTTCATTCTGGACAGGCGCACACTTAGGCAAGGGACGTTTATGTTTATTGATAACACATTATTGTACAGAGCTTAAGTGTATGTTCATTGTTGACAGGCAAACACTAGAGTACATATTTTTTGTGACTGAATTGTCATACGTCAAGTTTATGTGCATGCCGAACAGGCTCACACTAATGTACAGGATTAACGTTTATGTTTATCGCTAAACAGATACACACTTCGACTCAAAATTTATGTTGATGTTCATGCAACAGAGGTCCAGTGCTCTTTAGTACAGGGTAAAAGTTTATTTCATGGACGAGCAGAAACGCGCTAAATTAAAAGGTAACGTGTTTGTTCATTGATAAAAAGGTACACACTTTATTTCATATCAATGTTTATCAATAGATAAGCATGACCACTCTTAATTGCAGAATGCACGTTTATGTAAATGACTGATCAGGTATACAGGGACGCTCTGTTTTTATTTATGTTTATGCTCCTGATTAAAAGTCAAATTGCCTCGAAGTAGAGGAATACATAACATGAACTGATACTTCACGTAGCACGAAGTTTACCATCAAAGTAAACAATTAAAACAGCACGTGGCATGAACACTATTTTGATATATCCGATGCATTCGAAGCACACAAGATCCCGATTGGGACGTTCAATTGTACTTAATCACAAAACAAAGTGCCATATACGATCAGAAACAACTGTGACAGAACAGATGTTCGATCGAACTTGTTAACCAGGAACTTGGCGCGTTAAGACACGAGATAACACAGCGTATTATCAGAAAGGTCATTCTTACACTGACTCATCCAATATGGTGGTCCTGGTCCTACTTTTTTCCGCTATCTTCGCTACAGGTAAAACATGCTTCGTCTATCGTTTATTTTTACTATATTTTCATTGCAGTTGTACTTCGATTCACAGATATTCTTCACCACGAAAAACTAACCATTAATCTACCAAGAAAATGCACATTGATATAAGGAACAATGCCAATTCTTTGTATAATAAACATATCTTATTTTACTTGTTTAAACGCATTCTCGTCAGATATATGTCTGGCATTCAATATGCGCCTCAAATGAGTCAAATGAATTATACTAAAATGTAAGTGTTTGTACATGATATAGTTTCAACTAAAACATGTCCCTGTTTGTTAACTCCTAGTCCATTCAATACACATCAGAGGTATTGTTTTGGCGTAAGTTCATCATATAAATCCAAGGGGTCCACTTTTGAAACACGCCGCTTCTTTGCACCCCTGTAATATATCGTGTATCATAACAAAATTGATGACTCTGTACGCTCAAACCTGCAGGCGATACAGGTGTATCGTATTGATCATTTAATCATAGTGTTACTATAAAAACAAAAGATAGATAAATTACCAATCTTGACATCTCAACCAAAGTCATGACATGTTCCAAATTTGCTGGAGAAAATGTGTATCGGTAACGGGACCACAGCCTTAAAATTGAATTGGTCTATATATATAACGATTTCTTACATACAAAATGTGAAAATATCACCTTTGATATTTGTCAGTAGTAGGGGTATTTTAGAAACGGTCGTACTAGCACCAACATTCGCTCGCGCCCTGCTCGCACCTGCTCAATCTTCTCGCACTGACACCACCCTTCTCCATATTATTTAAACCTGCTCAACATTGCGCAATCCTACTAAACATTGCTCAACCCTGCTGTATTTTTTCAAAGTATGATGTATCCGATGTAATATGTGTTTTAAAGGAAATGCTTAGGTCAAACACAAAAGCTTTGTTGTAATATTATCGAAATAGTTCCCATGTTTTAACGCAACTGTCAACACATGAAGCAGATACAACAATCTTTACAATCACTTTAGACAAATCCATTACAGGCAAGGTGTGATATTGAGGCCACTTTCTGAAGGTATCCTGTCAGTTTCAACATTTTATCATTGACTGGTGATGCGGTTGAATTACATACGTGTTTATATTATGTTGGACACTGTTTCATTCGATTAATGCTGGCTTGTTCCGTAGATGCAAATTGCTTTCTTATACACACACCTAATGTGGCTGCGAACAGGGTGGTGTGGGTTCGAGCAGGGGTGCTGTTGGTGCGTACAGGTTGAGCAGGTTGAGCTATGTTAAGCAGTGTTGAGTATTGTTGAGCAGCCGGGTTGAGCAATGGTGAGAAGGGTGGGGTCGGTATAGGCTGGGTGCGAATATGTTGAGCAGGATGCGAGCAGGGTTCGAGCAGGGTACGAGCAAAATGGAGTTGCGAGCACGAAGTAAACATGTTATAGAAACTTGTAATACACACATTTGCGAGTTATCTCCCGTTGAACTATCAACTTGTTTTTTAATAACACTGTGTAGGACTGACACCGGATAAAGCTTGTACCAAAGCAGGCATCGACGCTTGGCGCAGTCAAATCACGGTAAGTTTTCCGATATTTCTGGTATTTTCTGGTAGCGTAGAGACAAACAAAGGTGCACAATAGTCAAACATTAAACAGTGATGTATGTGATGCAGATACTTTGCAAACTATTTTATGCGATCTTAAACTGGCTAATTACCTGTACAACTGTATTGAGTGCATTGTGGTTTCTTGTAATCTTTGGTGTTACACAACTTACGTACGGTAAGGTGCGTGCATTTTATACTGTAGGAGATTTACGGTAATCGGGGAAGGCTAGTTTCAGTTTAACTTTAACAAAATATATCACATTTAGGCAAATTGTTCACTTGAATACCGTATACCATATGAACTATCCGCCGTACACCAGTTATTTTAAAAGATTCCTATTCGCCGTACAAGGTATTCGCTGTACATGTACAATGTATTTCTATTCGCCGTACACTTCACCAAAATTAGTTATGCCAATATCTAAAGAAAGAAGCATACTATATAGTGATTCCATGTATTATCATGACTACACTGTATATAACTATACGTAATCATCGTAGCATAAAAATGTATATAATCCACTGGCAAATGTCAAGTCAAGACAATACGTGTCGTTACCTGACTCGCTATATAAATGCACATTAATCAATTCTGACTGTTTCCCCAGACAATTCACCAAACGATCTATAGCTAATGTGTGCTACCGTAAAACATTTGACTGGTCACCGTAAAACTGTTGACTGGTCACATGTTAGGTAATCGAACGCACCTATAATTACAAGCACCCCAATGATCAAGCGTTTTTGGTACTGGATTGTTGACGGTCGTCTGTCGGTAGATCTAAACATCACATTCGACATGGAACTTTTTGTTTTTCATTGGTCAAGTAACAAAACAGTTGTTTCATGCCTTATCAGTCAACAGTCAAAACCATTTTCCCTAGGAGCTGGGACCCACCAGATGAACTGTTGCCCTCGGCCGCCTCGGGAAAACAGTTTTGGCTGTTGACTGATAAGGCATGAAACAACTGTATACTGTCGCGAATGAAGATTTAGCGGTACTAGGCAATCTGGTTTTGTTAATAATTTGCAACTAAACCAACAATTTTACGTCCCTCCTGTTTCAGATATGAATTACGCTTTAGCTTGACTGTCGTGCTTCTTTATATGTCTCTACACTACCAGAAAATACCAGTAATATCAGAAAACTTACCGTGACTGTGTCCAGCGCCAATGCCCGCTTCGGTACTAGCTATACCCGGTGTCAGTCCTACACAGTGACTATATAAGTAACTGGTAAAATGTGTTTTCTTTTAGATGCAGTTATCAATTTCTTTTATATCCATTCTTCTCATCATATGTTTAAAGCAATGTCATAGGTACACAGCTATATCAGATTTAGAGCCATATTCATCAAAACTCTACCGTTCATCTTTTTCAAAGGTATTATTGTTTGTTGAGTAACAACTTACACATACATCTCCTTCATAATCTTACGAAATTCTTGACAAAGGTACAGTTTTGACAAATTCAGTGAGAAATAAAAGCGTCCTAAGGTAGAAGTTCCAGAACAAAGGCCTCTGGCAATATATTGAAGGAATTTTCCAAAACAATTTTTCGACTTTTCAGATTGTAAGATAAAACATGGTTTGTCATTTTTGAGCCGATATTGGTTCATACAGTGTAATTACAATTCTGAAGTTTTTAAATTATCATCGCTATGCAGATACATGAATGGAGGGGTCCCAACAGTAATAGAGATATTTTTAGATAAATAACAGATATATATAAATAAAGAATATATATTTAAATGCATAAAGAATATCTTTGATCTAATCGAGATACTTTCAAAAGAAGTAGAGTTAATTTAATTAATATGGGATGTTTAGATTGTTGATAAGATATTCAATAAATTTATTAAAATATTTCTTTAAAACATTGATAATTAAGTTTCCCTGTCATGGCTCTTTTAATTACTTATCAAAGTACAGATTACATAGCAGGTCTACACTTAAATACGTTCACGTGATCTCCTTGTCCTGTTACACGGACTTCCTGTACAACGTGACAACATTCCGTTTATCTGTATATAGATTTAATATGACCTTACAACGCGCATGCGCTGTTGTACTCCTGCAGTAACTTTTGCATTTTTTTTTCAACGGATGTTTAAATGTATGTATTTAACAATCTGTGTTGGAAGGTACACCGTATGAGTGTGCCACAAACTCCAGTCAGAACGTGGAGATTGGATGCCGAGCTTACTTTAGGTGTCTGAATGGTGTCGGTACGCTTATCGACTGCACGACGATCAATCCCCAATTTGTCTACAACTCCGCGATAGGACATTGTGACGAGTACGTTTAACTATTTTCTGAAATCATTAAATTGTTCATATTTGCACTTACAATGTAGTTTAATACAAATATCAGAAAAGATAATAATAGTAAATGTACCAAACATGAATGACATTTTGTAGTGTAATGAAATATATAGAACTGTGTATGCTAAATCGCTTAACTGAATTTAACGTCTGCGATTATGTTTCATAGATTTTGTTTTGTTACCTGGTTCCGTATATTCAAGCAACCGTTCTCATGCTCAAGCTAAATATCTATGCTCGTGTCTAATTTCTTGTTCCAATGACCACTCACATGTTGTCATCGACTTGGAAGATAATGGAGAGACTAAAAGCCAAATACAATCTTCAGCTTTTAACCTTGCCTACTTTACCGTGTCGAAAGATTTGAGCGAGTTACAAGAAAGTAAGCTTGAGCACATAGCCCGTACTAGATAATGAGTACCGTTTCATGGATGCGAACATTGTTTTCTTTTTAAAATAGGACATGTTAGTGTGATATAGTTTCCTGAAACTACCACTATGTCAAATGTAAAACACTTATTGTTAAAATAGTGAACTCAACGTGGCGCCACCGTGTGGCCAGCAGAAGGATTGTACCAACAAGGGGGACAGAAGCTATGCTGACAAAGACAACAGTTGTCTTAGTTACTACACGTGTAACAGGGACACTTTCTTTGGTCACAACAAATGTTCGCCAGGTACGTAATATGTTACATGTTGCTTAATCCTTAATTAAAGTGCAATATAATGAAGACTTCGAGCAACCACTGAAAACTACAAAACCAACAACATTCTTTATTCTATGTTGTTAATTTATTCAAGCGACGTAATCAGTTGATGATTAGCAGTGTTTGTTAATAATTCGCTGTGACGTTACAGTATCGTGTATAACGTTAGAAAACAACGTGACCTCATCGTGTACAATGTTGAACATGCACTGTGACGTCATTATGTACACTTGTACGATGTTGAAAAGCCACTGTGACGTCATCATGTACAAGTTTAACGTTACACGAAAAATAATGAATAATTCTTAAGTAATTAGTTCTGTCTAGATAAACACGCCCCTTTTGAAAAATAATGTAGTTCCTCTTAACAACTACTACGTAGATGTATTTTAGTATATAACGATACTCAACACAATGTCATCACGTTTTAAAACAAATTCAATTGTTCTAGGCCTAGTGTTTGACGAGCACCTACAGACATGTAACTGGCCAGTCAACGTAGATCCACCTTGCGGGACCCATGGGACGACATAAGCCCATAGGGAGGAACCCATGGATACATAAATTTTCAAAATTGTCCAGATAGCATTACTATCATTACAAATATTTTAACTGAGATATGTGTAATATATTTTGAAAGAATGTGAACGTCTTGTTATGATTTTTTTACATATAGTTCGCGATTCGTGATAATATATATTTATCATATCTTTTGACCGGTGACAGGTTTTGGGCGAACATCTGTACACAATTGACCATGCTTCGTCTGCAGCTGCATGTGACTTGGTAATTGATTATAATTTCTCTTGGTCTGCACGAAGACCTTCTTTCTATAGAGTGTGTACCATGTAGGTTCACGTAACCTCAGTAGAACGTAGGTTCGTCTTGACGTTCACGGAATTGTTCCAGGTTCATGGTTCTGAAGAACTTGTACTTCGCCACTGTCATATCAAAATACAAAGATGTCAGATGAATTGTTTGACACCATCTAGCTCTTCTAGATCTTATTCGGACCACCCACTGGACTTCTTCTAGAGCTTGTCTGATACCAAAATGCATTATTTTACATCAATAACGACAACACGGTGTGCTGAACTCTTCAATCAACTCCACGTGCCAAAACTAATTGTATGCATCAGGTATATAGGCGCACTTGATGTAGGTCATGTAGCGTGCCGTCTGTAGACGCGTGCGATTTGGTTTTATATGATTTAACGTAACAGCTAAGGTCAATTAAGGACGTGCCTCCATGTGTGTTGCAAATGTGTGCATATGTGTATTATGTATGTGTGTCGGAGGCAGGGTATGTTGGTGTACTTGACTCCTTGTGATAACACGGATCCGATGCCGACATATTAGTGCTACCTTACAAAAATACCATGCCGAAGGCACCAAGCAAAGCATTCCGCCCGGTTACATGTTGTACTTCTCTAAATGCTGAACGTTAAGCGGGGAATATTAAGTACCATTTTTAAGGACTTTGGTGTGTCCTGGCTTGGGGACAGAACCTTCACCATTAAAGCCAAACGAAAGGTACTGCCAGATAAGGCAATACAAACGCATTAGTTAATTATCCCAATATTGGCCGACCGATAGACGGACGGACAAACTGAGCAACTGTAGGCAGTGTCACCTGTCATCTTTTGCAAGTGACGTCATCTTGCAACTTTTGTAACTGAATGAGGAGGACTAATTTAGACCATGACAATGATTATGCACATCATATAGTTGGTTGTTTCGAAGCTGTGTTCATTTAGCGATATAAGTATAACTGCAAATAGACAAAGGCAGAGTGTTACGAGATAACTAATTAAATGGTACTATAACGGGAAGATAACTGAACTTGTGTCAGGAAGGTGGGTTGAATGGACATTAGAAGGGTAAAAGTAAGTATGTGTTGATATTTTATTTGATGCACAATTTCAAATTGCATATATGCACTCCTAATATGTAACACTTTAGTAAACAATCTTAACTTGAACTTTGTTTATTAGTGAACAGTGATGACGAGTATGTGGAATAGGACCAGTAAGTAAGGACGGGGCATTGTAGTTATCTTTGGAAATTTACATGAATATGTTTCACTTCACTTTTACTCCAGCCGACTGTCATTTGTCTTGAATGCTTGGGTAAAACAGTGCTTTTGAAAAGTCACGCAAGCCTCAACCATTTTTTTTGTGAAAATATTAATGTGATTATAAAATAATGTTAAAATATTTCTTTGAGTTTTGATATCTTTATATCTGTTAAGAAACTGATTATGTACAAAAGATACAGCACCCCTTCTTATATAAATTGATATCTTTAATTGCCTTATTATTGAAATATGAAACAATTGTTTAATAAAAAAACACGGTCAAATAAAAAAAAACTCATTATAAGTCCATGGATTATCCATGCACATGCATGTTCCTCAAGATTAGCCGAGAACGTAACAGCTGTCCCGTGCAGACGGAACCATGAACCTGGACGATTCACATACTAGATAAAATACGTGATCAAGAGGGCTGTGGTCATTGTTACATTGCAATAGACAACATGGCGGTCGCATTTGTTCTTCTGTCGATCTTCGTCACCGCAGGTAAAATATAGTTGTTTGTTATTTTTATTTCATTTTATACCAATGGCCAGTAATATACGTGTTTTATTCTCAAAATATTTAGCTAATAATATATGCTCTGTATGACATCGTGTTGTAATATTTACAAGTTTCCTATTTTATTTTTGCCTTTGTAATAAATCTACAATTTGGTTTTTAATTGAAGTATGTGTGGTAGGAAAATGATACAAATATTTTAAAAGAAAATCACAAGAAGACCTTTTGAGACCTTTCGCTGCTTTACAGCGCTTCAGGTGAATACATACATGTTTATTTATATATGTTTTATATATTTTTTATCCGTCTGTAGGCATGGGCTACCAATGTGGTCCAGGCGTCACCGAGAATGTAGAAATTGGATGCCGGACCTACTACAAATGTACGAATGGTGTTGGTGCAGTGGTTACATGCGCCAATCTTGGAGCCGGGTTTGTTTATAATTCAGCGACTCGGCAATGTGATGAGTAGGTTTATAGTTGATTTTTTTTTAATTATTTGATCAATGGTTAGAGTCAACATAAAATATCACATTGTGGCATACAAGGCGAATAGGGGTGTGGATGTGTTCGTTTATCATTTATTTTTAAACACTTTTTTAGAAATTACATTATAACATTGTTCATGCACGGTATATAATAGGGTTGGAATTGATATTGTTATGTGTAGCTTTACGAGAATATTCATCGGTAATTCTTTAATCACTGTGTATCAATTTCAGAATCGCATCAGTGTGAAAGTTATTTTTCCCACCATCACAGATATATCTCCCGTTTTACTGTTTGTGATTCTGTTGTCACCCGTAAGGTGTAACTCATCTTTTTCGCACATCAAACAGGGTTAACCCACGTGATAACCTGTTCTAGACTTTTCTATCTCTTTCCGTCTTTCGGGCACCTTGACGGAACATTTCGTGGAACTCTCACACAGCGATGTATTTATCAGCACGCTAATGCAAGTGATGCACTTGTCCTTTTTTAAGATTCTTTTTTTGTTTTTGTTTGTATTGTTTTTTATGTGTTAAGATACCTAATGTTGTAAGTAAAAATATATTTTACATTGTGATTTATGTCTTTGCCTTATAAGGACGGACTGCACTGTATACGCAAAAGCATTCAGACTTAGCTTCAGAAATGAAGAAGCCATATTTATTTGAGGCACCGAAAGGGATACTTGTAGACTATAACGAAATTGAGTAGTTTTTCGACCTAATAGGTGCAAGAACAAAATCAGTACCTTATTAATCACCCTGTTGGAAATTAACAATGATTCTGTGACGTCATAGTCGATATGACTTTACGTGGACGATCAGGTATGACGTCAAAATCCGCTCTCGACGAGATGTTAGGATAAGAATTATATCACAAATGCTGGAAACTATACTTTGGAGAAAGAATATCATCTCCTGCCTTGAAAGGGTAACACAGTTTTCTTTGGAAACATCCTTAAATTGGACATTTCTCTGTCACTCCCTTAGGGAACTGTAGGAGAAGATTTAATGATCAACGTGAATAATTTATTTATAAGATAATTATAAATATTTGAAGATTATAGCAAACCGCGAGATATGTAAATAGTCACCGATGATGATATATTATCTTACACGAAAACAAAATGCCTCACATCTTATCTGTAATCGGTAATACTGATGTCCTAAAATTTGTGAATTTATCAAGCACCACTCCAAACTATATTTGCAGTCCAATTAATGTGGCGCCCCCATGTGGCCAGCAGAAAGATTGTAGCAACCTGGCGAACGGACGATATGCAGACAAAGACAACAATTGCAGTAGTTACTATACGTGCAATACGGGTACTTTCTTCGGACATTCACTGTGCGCCGGGTGTAAGTCAAATATATTATTAGTGTTGGTACTTAATACATCTGTATGTTTCCACCACAAACGTGCCTGTTTGTTAACGTCTAGGCCATCTAATAAATATAGGTGGTGTTATTTGAGCGTAAATTCATCTTATAAATCAAAGGGTTCCACTCAATAAACACCTTTTTCTTTGCACCCCTTGACTATATCATGGCAAAGTTGGAGACGCAAAGTTTCATATTCGATGATGCTGTTATACAACAAATGTGTCAAATTCCAATATTTCCACGATCTTACATTAATGGACAGGGCGGTAGGTTTATTAAATGCTCAAACCAGCTGACAAGGTGTTGACGCACCCTATATAGCCTTTCCTAAACAAGTTATGAAATAAAAAAAAATACATAATATACATAATACAAAATAAACATAAATATAAACATACAGTAAGAAACATTACATTGTATCTTTTCTTCAACAAAAATATAGGCCTACACTGACACGCAAAAGAGACCCCCGCCCCCCTTTCGAACAGTTCTTTGAACGGCCATTTAGATCTTGCCCCAATAAAATTGATGACGTAACAATAGCAAATGTTGTTATAGTCTCATAGCAACATTTGCCTTCTCAGGGCATTGCAATGGAAGGATGTGGAGCAAATGTAAATATTAGGCAGGCACATCCGTTTATTTTACCTTCAGTTTCTAGAGTCCGTTTATGAAATCTTAACGTGCACTACATGAAAGCGGGTCTTGTTGCATGCATTTATTTAAAACTTTACATTTCAATCATATGTAAATAACTAAATGTTCACACGGGAGTAGTTTGACTGATACAAATGATTGCATATGAAATATTTTGTGTATTCATTCCAGCCCTGGTGTTTGACGAGGCCAAACAGACATGTAACTGGCCAAATAATGTACTGCCACCCTGTGGGACCAATGGGACAAGTTCACCTTAAGGCCACAGAACTTCCGGTCACCTCACAGTGACACGTGAATGTTGTTAACATATATTGTGAGCTGCACTTCTAATAAAGTAACTTAACTATTGAAATGTGTTATAGTCTTTGGCATACATGTAGTGTGTTGCAATGTTATAGGCTAGTGTCGATATTTAGCTATTTAGTCCGAATATCTTTTGTATCGATACTCAACGGGCGAAGGCCAGTACTTCCGTATGGTGGTGGTTTGAGTAGTTATTCGTCCGCTTCACTATCGAGTAGTCCGGTTATCAAGCAGGGTAGAACAGACAGGAAAGGGATGAGAAGAAATATAGCTTGCAGTAAACGGAGAGAAAGGGATGACAGGAGAAAGAGATCCTGCCTGAACCTTTTTTATATTTCTAACTCTTGAAAGGCGACTCTTAAGCATAATGTTGCTTCAACCTAACTTTGTTTGGTATGAAGACACACGACGCGTAACGACGTAATGTACCTACATGACCGGAAGTGATCACTAAAGTTGCAACCAACCACACCAGCTCCAAGCTAGTTTATGATATTTGATTGGTAAATACATATTGTGAAGTCTGATTAAACGTCTTATAAAGAAATCCTGAATCTTATTTTGAAAATAAACCTAACTTTAACTTCTGGGTCGGCGAAGTCACCCCTACCGCGCCAATCTCTACCCAGAGTTGTCGTTCCTTTTCAATCACACACACCTCTGTCAACGTCTCAGATTTTACAAGATTCTTGTAAAACCAAATTTGGTCTCAAAGCGTGATAATTTCATCTTCAGTGACTTCTTTTTTCCTTTCTAAAATATTGTCTTGGCTATATCACTTTTAAACGACTTTTAACAATTAGTAAGGCGTGAATATATATTGCACTATACATTTTAGCGTAATGTTCAGCGTAGTAATATAAATGTGGTTATTTAGCTTTGAAAATGAATAGAATAGCCGGTTTTGTATAATTTGTTTATGACATCGCCAGTTGTATCTGATATATGTTGTAACTTAGAATTGAATCCTTCACTATGTACCTTTCGCCCACTCAACTTAAAAACTATCACATTCTTGGCAAAATACGCAAAACAATCTATATTTTCCAACTACTTAGGCATGTTCTCTACGGAGGCTACCATTTTGTACGATTGATCACATGATTTTTTGGTCATGTGATTCGGGACTACTTTTGGACGTTGGCAGAGATTAAAGGGAGTGCAAGGACCGTAACTCTGCGTGGAGATTGCTACCGCGCAGGTACCTCATGTAAATAGGTTTATATAGCAGGTGAACTCAAAAGGCAAGGGCCGTTGTCATGCGAATAGGTTTGCATAACACATATAGGTATCCTTAACAGGCGAGGGTCGGTATTCACGAAAATAAATCTATATAGTTAGTGTACTCATGATCAGTAAACAGGGGCCGGTACTCATATAAATAGGTTTATGTAGCAGGTGTACTCAAACAGGCGAGGATGAAACTATTAGTTACACAGTTTGTTAGTGACCTAATACGGAAAAATATTGACCCAATATTTTTCCGTATTAGGTCACTAACCAACTGTGTAACGAATTTATCCCGTCGAAGGCCCTTTGGATAAAAAAAATGTTTGTTAACATTTCTGTTAACATTTCATCGGCTGTCGTCTGCACAAACCGCTTGGTCGCCATCTTGTTACAAGTTGACTCCTATGGGCAAAGAACGATAACTCTTTCGTACTCACCTAATGTGAGATTCTACTGACCTAATATGAAAATATACTGGATATCATGTGACATCGTTTTAACCAATAGGAATACAGGATTTTTGCCTGAGGCGGGATAATTGTGTAAATTGGCTGTTGACAATCAATATGAAACGCTAACGTGTTTCGTGGATTTGTTCCTTGTCATTTGTTTTGACCATTCATGATATCACGTGCAAAGAGTCCAACACTTAAACAGTATTTCACATGAAATTTTATTTTTCATATATTTTTTTCAGTTTTTTAGTTTAAATAAGAGTGTCTATACTGTATATGTTCGTGTTTTTTAATAAATCAGAAATATTCTAGAGAGACGGCGGTACACAACGTTGCAATTATGACATAATAATGATGATGAGGTCAACTGGTGGGAATGCCTACTGTACATGTATTCGGTACGTTATCATGAGTGGTAATGCCATGAAGTAGTAAATACATATACATGGACCACGTGCAATAAATATGCATTATGAGGCTCAGAAAAAGTTGATATAGCAACTATTCTTACCCCTGTATCGCATTAACAGATCAGTCCTACAACTGAAAACTGTGCAACATATATCTCCCGAATTGAGATTTGGACATTATCTATTAAAAAAGTTAAATAATCATATTCGAAAAATAAAAGCAACAGGAAAAGCAGTGTCGCCAATAGCATCCAAATGTAGATGCTAAGTTTGTTTTTATCACAAACAGGAAGTGAAAGCTTTTTTATTTTGCGAGTTTTCGTAAAAAATTTGGTTCCTTTGTTCGAGCAAACAGTGTACATTAATCTTAACCGCTGAAAACATATCACTAAGCCACAGTATGCCGAATCAGTAAGTAAAAAGATATTTCGCCAGATAGCAGTATAATACTGCAGGCAGTCAGGGAGACAAAACAGTTCGCAAAATAGGTTTTTCAATTCATGTTTGTATTAAAAATAAACTCACCTTTTTGGTTATTCCTACCCATACTGATGAATCTTGTTCTGAACATACAAATGTACACACTATGAAAGGTAGCACATCTCCTATTCAAAGTATTTCACATACTATGTACACATCCCCTACTACATGTACTTGTACTCGGGGCCTGGTCGTCAACCGCCTGATAATCTTAGCGAATCGTTAACTGAATGGGGTTTTTTTTGTGTTTTTTTGATATTATGAACAGTTACAAATATTACCGTATTTCTTGTATATATTCGTGGTCATAGCCTCGTATACGTGTATGATACTTTAGATGTTCTTCAAGAAAAGATAACGATGAATGATTTCTGTTAAGGTTCCTTTAAGCTTATGCTACTCTGACAAACTGATCCTGATCATGTTTTTTAACGATCCACATTAAGTCGTGGTGTAGGTGTGGAATTTATTTATATTTCCGCCATATCTCCGATGCATGTGTAGAGCGAATCCGGTCAATCGGTCTTTCATTCCAGATAGAGGCCTCTTGAAATCCTTAAGCGGTTTCAACACTTGATATTGCCGCTAACAGTCTGTCCATGTTTTTCTCAATCTAGGATATTGCATTTGTTTGGTACACATTCCATCACTTTGATATATATATTTGATATTGAAGTATTAAATTGAAACATCATGATGTTATATATAACATTAATCTTCAAAGCATAGTTATAGTATGCATAGCATGTCTTATACTACAATGTAGCTGATAAACACATAAGTTTGCACGTTTTGTTGAATACCCTATTTATATTCGAGATGCGTTATCGCCCATAAGGAAGCAAATTTGTAAGTAAGAAGGTTGCAAATATAGATATACGTGTACCATTATCATTGTTAAATTCAAGATTCTGTAATAAAAACAGCAATTCTTTGAAGTCAGGTTCTAAATGGAGTTTGAATTTCCCGTTAAGGATGGTGACATAACTAGCAAATAACTGAAGCTTAATATACTAAAAAAGGTCTTATACCACAACCAATAATTGTTTCTATGTAACGTTGCGATGACTAGTACAGTATGTGCACTGTCACCTACATCAGACAAATGACCAGTGAAGCATTTTCATCGTTTAAAGTTAAGAAATAATTATCAAATGTGCGTGTATTAAGGTGGAATATGTAAAGAGGGTGTGGAAATGTTAAAAAAAAAATAAAAAAAAAATAAAGGAAGGCCACTTTTGGTTAATAATTTTTCCAGCAATATCTAATACGTTTCTTTATATTTTTTGTTTCTCCAACGTCCCCACTGCAGAATCTAAGAACAGTAGTAGTCCCTTTCTCAGCGTTGAGAACGACAGACTTACGGTAAAACAGAGTCCAACTGTGTGTCGTTAGAAACGCATAATGTGGAAGACCTTGCAGAATCGGGTATTTTCTTATGTCCTCTGCTTAAAGGACTATGAAAGGACCTAACATCGATTTNTGATTGTTACGTCATTGGTTTGTGCGAGAAAATTACGTCGTTTTCTCAAAAATTGATGACGTTACTCTCACAAACAAGTGACGTAACAATCAATACCTGCTCCCAAGATAAGATAACTCTGCAATACGCAAAGACGGAATAGGAACACTTGGGATATACACATTCATCTCGGCAGAGTAAAACAAGACATTATGAGGACCTTAAATGTCAGAAAAAATCGCCAGTTATTTACATCGTCGTCACGACAGACCACTTGTCTATGGTGACGTCACAATTTCGACACAGAAGACACATAACATACATTTTAAATAGGAAATATTTTTCCGTTTTTTATAATAAGCGAAAATTGATCTATTTGAATACTAATATACCCTTTTTGAAAAACTAAACACATGGGTATTCATTCGTTTGACCTGAAGTACCATGTTAAATCCTCAATGACAACATTGTAATATGGTGTGGTACTGAAATGTTTGCCGTATTGATGCAATGATAAGCTCGATTTACAAATATGCTCTTCCTCAATAAGTAGTTTCATGAACTATTTTGAAATAAGTGGAATTATGGTAACAGTAGCGTTGCATCTTTTAATATGCCATGCAGGTCGGTCACTATTCCGTCAACTTTATCCAATATTTTGGCACAGCAGCTGGGATCTATAACACTATATCAAAACGTAAGAAAATCACAATGTAGGTAAGGTTTGATAAAATATAACCCAAAGATAAAACTATTCGTACAACCACTGAATATATAAACCAGTCGATGTGCATTAAATTAGATATCAATTGCAGAATACGTTTCGTTAAAATGGAATCATCGCAGTTTATGCTGTAGTAATAATAAGCTTTACAGATTCCCCTGACAAGAAATGCTTTTTTAAGAAACTGCTCCATGACTTTATTTAGACTTTTACAACTGATAAAAAGTAAACAAAACTACGTAATGGAATCTGATAGTTCTGGTTTGGAAAGACGACAACATATAATATGTCTTATGCTTTACTGTCTTATTAGTTTTTTTGATAGTATTGTATATACATGTACAGTGGTGCTGAACTGAACTAATTGGGATTAGCAAAGCACATAGAAAAACACAAAAACAAAAAATGACAAAAAATAAAATCCATTATTTACCACATGGAATTCCAAATCATGGATTTGTTTATTTCTTTGTTTTGTTTATACTTTTTTGTGTATTTATCTTCACTAGTTTTCTTTGTTAATTGTTTCCTTTTTGAATGAAAATAATAATTTTCATGGTACAAAAAAACGTCTTAAATGGCTATCTTCCACAATATTCCATCAACACGATGATGATTCTTTTCGTCAGTAAGAAGACGCTCCCATAATGTTCGCGACAGCTGTCAACGTTTCTCCTGACATTATCAGACATCAAACAGTGTCGGTGACAACAGTTGCTCCCCTAACACGACAGAAATGCATGATACGTGTTCAAACATGTCAAAGATCGCTTCAAGGTTATCTTCTTCTAGGTATCGAAGAGCTCACGTTGTTAACGGCAGACAAGAATTGGAGTCATTTCAACAACCACGATGATTTTCCAGTGCTTTTTAATCTTCCTTCTTCATGGAGTCGGTAAGTTAAGTTCTCTTATGATTATATAACAAAATCATCTATGCTTTGGTAAAAATGAAACGATCTGCTTTAGCTGGTTTAAATATTTAGGTTAAATTTCGTCTGAATCTTATTATGTATTATTGCTTAAGAATATGTCTTGGTCATTATGACACATTGTATTGATTTGAATAAATTATGATAAAAATCAATATGATGCCCGTCATGAGCATCATATCGAAATTGTTCCTAATACTACCTTTAATCATATCCCTGTGACATTTGTAAAACGAATCTCCTTTTCTTTCTACTTCAATGTACATCCGTGAGTACATTTTAAATGATTTCAATTCATTAACGAAATTTCTTTTGACAAAAATATATGGACTTACTGCTGCTTTTGTTAAATGGTCATCAACACCTTTGACGTACGTAGTCAGTGACGTAAAGTGGGTCTTTTCCAATTTGGTATGTAACAGGAGAGGACAAATACCGGGCCAGATCGGGGTTCGAACCCGGGACCTTCCAAACTCTAGACGAACGCTCTACCAATACGGCTATCTGGTCGCCGCCGATCGACCTAGTCACGTTCCGCTACATTCCTCCCTCCGTTTTTTAAGTCTTCGCCCCCGAAGACACAACTATTTACAACCAAGGTTCGGGTATCGGTATGACAAGTATACGCCAAATGCTTTAAACATGGTTGGTCACAGGCACCACTGTTACTAGAGAGGGAAAATACACGGCCTGACCGGGGTTCGAACCCGGGACCATCCGAACTCTAGACGGAAACCCTACAAACTGAGTTAACTGGTCGACAACGATTGATCCAGTCCAGCTACGCTACATATATATGCTTCGTTATAATGACATGTCATTCCTATAGGAGATCAACAAATGTGAGCCATGTAAAATTTCTTCTATGAACCATAAACTTGCCTCATTAAAATGTTATTATCGTGTGGGTGACTGCCTTTCTTTTCTTGACAAGAAATGTTTTTATGGAAATTTGTTTTTTTACCATTGCTTCTGCTATTACTATTAAAATGCGCGAAATGGATTAATAAAATGAGTAGAAAAAATACTAATAATCAATAATTACCTCAGACATATTTCTTTTAAGACATCGTAAACTGCCATGGTTTTTTTCAGTAGTATATTGTTCATATAAACGAATATATGTGATAATGACGATTCGGTCAGCTTTCGAAGGAATATAGCAAGAGGAAAAAGACTTACGTGTTATTCTTTGTCTGGTATCTTCTATATAATAAGTATAATAATTACAGAATATACATGGTGCTTCTTGGGATCGGTTGTCTGAACTATGTTGTAGTTCAATAATTTATTATAAAAATTGTGATATTTCCGAAAGTATTATAGAAATAATTTCTTAGATTTATAAGATTTCTTTAAATGGAAAGCACAACAGTGCGAGTTTAATTGAAGAAATTTGATTTTTAGTTGTTGCATTATGTAATTAAGCATACTGAGCTATGGCTATTGGTTCATGGACTTTTTCACCCCTNGGGGGGGGGGGGGGGGGGGGGGTGGCTTTTAAGTTGCCAAACGCATTGCTTGCCGAGTGCTTTGCATTTTAAGAATATTTCCCATAGGGTTGATATTTCCGTTCTTATCTTCCCTACTCTGTTGACCCTGTCATATACATAATGCAATGTAAACGCTATAAGTTCAAAATAATGTTGAAGTGACGTCACACAATTGCTATAGGGGAATCCCCCCGTCTCGATTAAAGGTGACACAAGGGTATTTCTCACCTGGAACATGTTCACACAAGTGACGCATTAGTTATGAACAACTATTTAAAAACAAAAAATCAAAAACACAAAATGGATCAAATGGTCATTGTAGGGTTACCCTGTGCAACGTTTTCTTACTTGTAATTTGTCTTGAAGTTGCTGCAATAATTTTGATTTGATTTACTAGGACCCAGAACTTTGAACAAGATAACGAAAAATAATCCGTACATGGTATGCTCTGTCCAGGCGGTGCACTGCTTTGGAAGTTACGAACTATTGTGAAAACAAATCGAGGAGGACTTTTATTTGTTTAGCTGCATATTGCTTCAAAAACTAAAAAGACATAGGGCTACTGAGAAACCCAGGCAAATCAGTAAAAATAAAAAAGGTATCGGATCGGTCCAACTTTGCAAAAGCAAATGGAAAATTTGGTAAAAATTCCACGAATATTACCCGTGAGAAACAAACAAATCCTGATATCCCATAGAAAATAGTGAAGTATGCATTCTTTGACAGCGATATTTTTTTTTTAAACTAGCTTAATACTTAAAAAATACACTGCTGATCTGACAAATCAAAACACTAAATCCAAACTACTATGAGACAAATTACAAAAGAAAACCCACGACATTATACAAGTTGCCAACATGTTCAAAGCCAGTTCAGGCGTAACGATACGCGGGTCTAACGATACTCCATCTTAGACATCAGTCTATTTTACTGCCAAACATAATTAGATCGGCGACCTATCATGGAGGAACTTATTGTCTTGGGGAAACACAACATTGTTATGTCTGGTTGTTGTTTCGTGTAAGGTCATATTGTGGTGTGTCTGGTTGCTGCCTTTTCTGTTTGCTAGATTGTTGTCTGGTTGCTGGTTTGTGTAAAGTTACATTATTGTGGTTTGGTAACTGTCTTGTGTTGAATAAATTGTTGTGTCTGGTTGTTGTTTTGTGTAAGGTTACACTGGGGTGTGTTGGTAGCTGTTTTGTGTTTGAGACGTTGTTGTCTTTCTAGTTGCTGATTTGCGTAATGTTATATTGTTGTTTGGTGTTTGCTGTTTTATGTGTGATGCATCGTTTTGTTTCTGGTTGCTATGCTGTATAAGGTTATAATGTTGTTTGTTGTGTGCTGTTTTATGTTTGATACATCGTTTTGTTTCTGGTTGCTATGCTGTATAAGGTTATATTGTTGTTTGTTGTTTGCTGTTTTATGTTTGATACATCGTTTCGTTTCTGGTTGCTATATTGTGTAAGGTCATATTGCTGTTTGTTGTTTGCTGTTTTATGTTTGATACATCGTTTTGTTTATAGTTGCTATTCTGTGTAAGGTTATATTGTTGTTTGTTGTTTGCTGTTTTATGTTTGATATATCGTTTTTTTTTCTGGTTGCTAATCTGTGTAAGGTTATATTGTTGTTTGTTGTTTGCTGTTTTATGTTTGATACATTGATTTGTTTCTGGTTGCTATTCTGTGTAAGGTTAAACTGTTGTTTGTCGTTTGTTGTTTTATGTTTGATACATCGTTTTGTTTCTGGTTGCTATTCTGTGTAAGGTTAATTTTTTGTTTGTTGATTGCTGTTTACTGATTTCTGGTTGCTATTCTTTGTAATGTTATATTGTTGTTTGTTGTTTGCTGTTTTATGTTTGATACATCGTTTTGTTTCTAGTTGCTTTTCTTTGTAAGGTTTTATTGTTGTTTGTTGTTTTTTGTTTTTTTGTTGCTTTTCTGTGTAATGTTATATTGTTGTTTAGTGTTTGCTGTTTTATGTTTGATACATCGTGTTGTTTCTGGTTGCTAATCTGTGTAAGTTATATTGTTGTTTGTTGTTTGCTGTTTTATGTTTGATACAAGTTCTGTGTAAGGTTATATTGTTGTTTGTTGTTTTATGTTCGATACATCGTTTTGTTTCCGGTTTCTATTCTGTGTAAGTTATATTGTTGTTTAGTTGTTTCTGTTTTATGTTTGATACCTGGTTTTGTTTCTGGTTGCTTTTCTGTGTAAGGTTAAATGGTTGTTTGTTGTTTGCTGATAAATTTTTAATACATCGTTTTGTTTCTGGGTGCTATTCTCCGTAAGGTCATATTGCTGTTTGTTGTTTGCTTTTTTATGTTTGATACCTGGTTTTGTTTCTGGTTGCTAATCTGTGTAAGTTATAGTGTTGTTTGTTGTTTTATGTTTGACCGACCGTTTTGTTTCAGGTTGCTATTCTGTGTAAGGTTAAATTGTTGTTTGTTGTTTGCTGTTTAATCTTTGATACATCGTTTTGTTTCTGGTTGCTATTCTGTGTAAGGTTATATTGTTGTTTGTTGTTTGCTGTTTTATGTTTGATACATCGTTTTGTTTTTGGTTGCTATTCTGTGTAAGGTTATATTGTTGTTTGCTGTTTTATGTTTGATACATCGTTTTGTTTTTGGTTGCTATTCTGTGTAAGGTTATATTGTTGTTTGTTGTTTGCTGTTTAATTTTTGATACATCGTTTTGTTTTTGGTTGCTATTCTGTGTAAGGTTAAATGGTTGGTTGTTGTTTGCTGTTTTATTTTTGATACGTCGTTTTGTTTTTGGTTGCTATTCTGTGTAAGGTTAAATTGTTGTTTGTTGTTTGCTGATAAATTTTTGATACATCGTTTTGTTTCTGGTAGTTATTCTGTGTAAGGTTAAATTGTTGTTTGTTGTTTAATTTTTGATACATCGTTTTGTTTCTGGTTGCTATTCTGTGTAAGGTTAAATGGTTGGTTGTTGTTTGCTGTTTTATTTTTGATACGTCGTTTTGTTTTTGTTTGCTATTCTGTGTAAGGTTATATTGTCGTTTGTTGTTTTATGTTTGATACATCGTTTTGTTTCTGGTTGCTATTCTGTGTAAGTTATATTGTTGTTTGTTGTTTGCTGTTTTATGTTTGATACATCGTTGTGTTTTTGGTTGCTATTCTGTGTAAGGTTATATTGTTGTTTGTTGTTTGCTGTTTTATGTTTGATACATGGTTTTGTTTCTGGTTGCTATTCTGTGTAAGGTTATATTGTTGGTTGTTGTTTGCTGTTTAATTTTTGATACATCGTTTTGTTTCTGGTTGCTATTCTGTGTAAGGTTATATTGTTGTTTGTTGTTTGCTGTTTTATGTTTGATACATCGTTTTGTTTCTGGTTGCTATTCTGTGTAAGGTTATATTGTTGTTTGTTGTTTGCTGTTTTATGTTTGATACATCGTTTTGTTTCTGGTTGCTATTCTGTGTAAGGTTAAATTGTTGTTTGTTGTTTGCTGTTTTATGTTTGATACATCGTTTTGTTTCTGGTTGCTATTCTGTGTAAGTTATATTGTTGTTTGTTGTTTGCTGTTTTATGTTTGATACATCGTTTTGTTTCTGGTTGCTATTCTGTGTAAGGTTAAATTGTTGTTTGTTGTTTGCTGTTTTATGTTTGATACATCGTTTTGTTTCTGGTTGCTATTCTGTGTAATGTTATATTGTTATTTGCTGTTTAATTTTTGATACATGGTTTTGTTTCTGGTTGCTATTCTGTGTAAGGTTATATTGTTATTTGCTGTTTTATGTTTGATACCTGGTTTTGTTTTTGGTTGCTTTTCTGTGTAAGGTTATATTGTTGGTTGTTGTTTGCTGTTTAATTTTTGATACATCGTTTTGTTTCTGGTTGCTATTCTGTGTAAGGTTATATTGTTATTTGCCGTTTTATGTTTGATACAAGGTTTTGTTTCTGATTGCTTTTCTGTGTAAGGTTATATTGTTGCGTATGGTCGCTGTTCTGTGTTTGCCTCATTATGTACGTGATCGTTTGAAGACTTAACTGTCAGTGTGATCTCTTCTTTATGTTTAACTTTAAATTGTATATGTTACATTTGCTTTTTTATAGTGGATTGTGCGGTTAACTGCAACGTTCACGGTGACGGGAATTATGAAATATCGTGTTACGAATACACCACGTGTGTGAATGGGGTACCTACCGTTCATACCTGCCTGGACGGCCAGATGTATAACCCGAACACACAGCAATGTGACCAGTGAGAAAAAATCACAATTACAAGTATCGAGATTATATACAATTTGTTATCCATGTTTATCTTAAGTAAGTCAGCTGACCTTAGTTTTAAAGCGAATAAGGTATCATGTTTGTGACAATTGAACCAACTTGATTTATGTTACTTAATATTGTTTCTGTAGGAATTTGTTTGGATTTCGAAAGCGAAACTTCTCCAGATTGTATGATTCATTAAGAAGTAAAAAGATTATCCATTAAAATAATTCTGATGTAAAATACTGTTAAAACATGTTAAATAATTAAAGAATTACATTATGTTTATAACAGATAATTGTATACTACAAGCATGTTATCTAGATCTATCAGGCTGTGAATATGTTGAAGATTATTATCTAATACGTATTTAATTGCTATTGAATAGGTTTTGGTGTGGATATTGAATTGATAGATGTACAAGTTGATTCAACGCCTATTTATAATGAATTATATATATTTTTTCAAGGCGGAGGAGTGTTTTGAAGCGATATTGCTTCATCAAAATGTAATTTATACAAATATCTGAATAATTTACGATGATGCAGACATACTGACGTGATGTATTTGCTTACAATGTTCTCTTCACAAGAGACGTAAACGTTTTCATGAAAATCGACACGACAATAGTCCTATTGAATGCAACGTTACGTTCGAAGAGCTAATTGAAGTTCCAGAGAAACAATTGTGTGTTTGCCATGTTTGAATTTTACTTTATTCGCTTCCTCCATCTATATATTTCAAACTTTACAAGAAGAAATTTCTAAATCTGTTCCTGAATGACATTTAGAAACTGGCTTGGAGGCTTCATAAAATCATTGAGTATGCTGTACAAGTTCGACACTTTAAGCCCTATTCGAATTGATAGTCACAACTCTCTGGTAAAGCGTGATTTCATGAAAAAGAAATTCGCCAACAAGGGGATTGATGCCAGTGACATCCTTCATCAAAAGTCGGTCCAAGCTACAAATACTATCGTACTTCAGTTACAAAAGTACCCAATTAATTTCCAACAGTTATTCTAAACCCATTGCTCCCTATTTATCTACTACAAGCAGACACTACAGCAGTTGAATTTCGATGATCTTTTCCATCATGTTCTTACTCCAAGTTCTCCTACTGCTGTGGTTCGGCTGGACGTCAAGCCACTGGAGATCTAAATATTATCCATAATGCAAAGCTACGAGAACTTTTCATGAATAGTCCTAAGTATCGGGAGACACCTACTATTAGTTGAATGCTAATATCAAGATACGTAAGGATTCTGCGTAAGACTACTCCAGACAATGGGAAAACGACAGTATACTGAATTGATTTCACTTTCAGAGTGGATTAACTCTAGCAGGTCTATCAACTCAATACGATGGCCGATAGCGGCCGTCACATTCTATATCTAATATTTATGAGACTTGTACATGAACACATCTTATATCTAATATGTATAAGACTTGTACATGTATTTTTTTTTTTAATTTGTACATGAACACATCTTATATCTAATATATATAAGACTTGTACATGTACACATACTATATCTAATATGTATAAGACTTGTACATGTATATTATTTTTTAATTTGTACATGAACACATCTTATATCTTATATGTATAAGACTTGTACATGTACATTTTTTTTAAATTTAACGATTAACATTCCTTTCGTGATAAGACCCAGTCCGAAACAAAGGTGAAGTAAAGCAAACACCTTCTAGTTTATCCGTAGCTTTTGTTAAGAATATAAACCGGTCTATTGCAGAGGACATGTCGGGTATATAAAGCTGTTTGATTAATTTTGGTAAAAAACTAAAACTTCACAAAAAGAAATGTAATATTACGCCAACAACTGAGAGATTTTAAGCATATTGACTACATGATTTAAGAGAGCTTCCATAGTTTAAAGGACCATTGCGACTATGGGAAATTGTTATATATATATTTGATACTTTATGACGTCTATACTTCAAATAAACAGTCCGAAGAATATCCAAGAAGAGATAAAAGTACTAAAGACTCGCTGTTGAGAATTTTTCCTTTTTTAATATCTAATACTATATATATACTTAAATGAAATATTAATTTCTCTTAAGTGGGAAAAAAATAACAAGGTATCTTATACTTTAAGAATACATGTAGTACGTAATGAAGTGTCTGCTGCATTATACATGGCCAAATTGAATTCAAAACACCTTTTGATCGATCTTGAACATCTACTTCTCAAAACTGTTTTTTTCTATTAAAACTGTTGACCTTTTTGCCCATTACACTGTATCTCATACCAAACTGGATGAATGCCTGCGGTCTCTTGTTATGTGAGCACCCTTTTTAAAGAACTTCCTTTTTTATAAAGAAGACCGATAGATACCATAGTATTGGAAACAGAAACAGAGTTTCATCATTGTGTCATGTACAAAATAACCATACAGAAGATGAATTTTACTTAAATCTTTGTTGGAAATGTCCTGTTTCGTAGTAGGCTACTTTAATAAAGTGTTTGTCAGTCAATATCAATGTATGGATTTAAGTGTTATATATTTCTCAGTTCATTATTTACAGGATTTTTGAGATATCTATATACCTTTTGAAGCGTATGAGTTTAAGTTTCGCGGGGGTGTTGTTCAACTGTTTACTGGCATGATTGTATGAACGCACGACTGATGAGCTGTGATAAATGAACTTGAATCAAAACATGTAACATGTAAGTCAGAGTCGTATGCTTTTGTAATAGATGAGTAAAATGAATCATGTATTTGTGAGATGTTCTAATACAATGACATGTAAATGTTTCACACTGTTTTCCATTTTTACAAGTTCGTGGAATGTGCCTCCGCCGTGTAACATTGTAGTTGACTGTACTAATAAGCCGGACTTTAAATTCGCTGACTTGGAAACTAGCTGTAGGTCTTACTACACCTGTCATAACGGATACTTCTATGGCCATAACTTCTGTTCCCCGGGTAAGTTTTATAATTCATACGCATTATACAACCGATCTTTGTATTAAAAAGTATTTTATCTCGATTTCTGTTTATCTCGACATTGAGTTTTAGGACCATGGCAGTTCATTATTGTTGTTTTGTTATCGGATATAAAGAATGATCCTCACATCAATGTTTTAGTACTGCCAGAACGCCCTCGCAAAAAAACGGTTCGAATGAGAAATGATAAAAGAGAAGATAGATAAACGCACACAATTCAAAATCAATATGCATATGAACACGGTAAACAAAAACTCGAATAAGTGGAGTATATGTACCCTTCCTTACTAATATAACTTGAACGGATGTGTCGATATTGCTCTTCATGGCTTTAATGATACATTACAAAACTGTAATGCATTTAAAGCTGAAACAGTTTTGTAGCACTAAGCGGTTAAGTTTATGTTGGGTTTGTTGTCGTTCTTTACTGATCAGAGCTGTCTCTGGAAATCAAATACCCTTCCACCTCCAGGTCTGTGAATTTGAAATAACGGAGGTTTTTTTTTACATTTAAATAGTGATCTTCCATAAAAGAAAGAATTTGTAATATTCTTTAGTCTTAATAAAGTTTTTGATATATATACACTCGTGGAAGCCTATATTGTATGTTGACCCAAATCATGCTTATACTTTTTTCGCAAATAACTCCTGAATTACACCAGTGACTGGCCAAAAACATAAATGATATTCTTTTGTTTTCCGTGGCGACTAAAAACACACAAAAATAACAACATGCCTTGGATGGCACAAAGTCCGAGGGAAAGGGTGGTTGACATGCTCCATGCGGAAATTTCGTAACGTCAAAATGCACAATTAACAATTTCTTCGCAGTCGCGTCAGCAGAATAATCATTCAGAAGTTTCGTTGGCAATATAAATTAACCGACATGTCATCCATATAGCAAATTCTGGATAGTCTTGAGCAGAGCGTTAGGAAACGTCAAAATTAGCTGTATAACTTTTAGGAGTTGCCAAAACATTGACTGACGAATGCAACAGCATCCTTGTTCAGCATATCAGTTGGTTAACAAGTTCAATACGACGACGCTTCGGCGCTGCTTTCGGCACAAACGTGGTTCTGAACATTTGACTTTCGAAACTCATCTTACCATGCTTTAACGTCTAATAAATCGATTCAGAGCAGAATTTTATTTCTTTCCGATGAATTAATAAAGTTATGAAAAACATGATTCCAACATTCAAAATTTTATTTTAAAATCATATCCTAGATTTATTCTTTTTACTTATTCATTATCTTATTTCCGTCAGGGTACGTTTTCTATTATCCAATGTTATATATAAATGTCAGATTTGCCAATAAGGATATTATATTAGATAGGCTCTGAAACGTGGTTCAATGATTACAGGAGGTCTTATTTTTGAATACGTGTTTTGCTTGTAATTGTAAACATTCTGCAAGAATTTTAAAGACGCTTAACCAATGGAGGCAGGTGTTGTTAGTTACGCGTTGTATATAGTTTAGTCAGATAAAATCATACGTTGTCATCTGATATTATTAATAAAAAAATTAAAAAAATAAAATAATACAGTATAAACTCACACTTTTACCAAAGAAAGCTTTTTAGCATTAGAGGTAAATTATTTTAAAAACGCCAAATATATCAATTTGCAAATGAATAGATTCACAAGAGATCAAACATATTTATTTGATAAAATATATGATTTTTTTAATATAATTTTCTTTCGATTAATATACGGTAGGAAAGTACTTATAAAACACATACATACACACACCTACACACCCTCACACATACACACACACTTTGGTGGTGATAATGTCAATGGTTTCAGGTTGGTACATTGTACATGTATATGACAAGAACACAATTGAAATGTTTCATGTTTCAAGTTTAATATTTTGAGAAGAACAGAATTTGATGTGTACTGTTTGGAATTGATATATGTCGGAGCAGATCTAGAACTATACTTGTTTTATAATTAACATTTGGTAGTTGACAGATAATGATAAACAGTTCTCGTGTTTCAGGTCTGGTATTTGACGAGAGCATGCAGATCTGTAACTGGCCTTTCAATGTGGTAACACCCTGTGGAACGATTGATAACAACTATCTCGTCGGTTGATCGGATGAAGATTGTTTATGAGAAGACTTAATATACAGTCCAGTCTGGTCATTTGTCAGTGTTATTTTTTAAACATCAACTTTATAAACTTTTTCATGCACTGTATTGAAAATACATGAAAACGATAAAAGTGATAATATAAGGTTCTTTTTTTCTACATTAAACACAATTTTCTATTTACTGCACTAAAATCTATATATTTTCTGTTCAATTGCAAGCGACACAATGATGGAATAAGTGGTTTTGTTCATTGTTGGTACTCTAAGTCGCGAACATAACTAGATAATTGTTTATCATGCATTTTTGTAAGCAGAATTGAACCATATAATAGCATGGAATCGGTAGCATTGCGTTGACTAACCAATTCAAAATAGAGTACAATCTTGTTATCAAGCGTGACGTCATCAGCCAAACTCAGGTATTCAACATGTTACTACTAAATATCGACCATATACAGAACATTTTTTAAGAGCAAATGGAAGTGGAGCCATTTGAGGTTTTTAGCACACGAGACTTCATTCTCACATGTAGTTTTCCCCGCTTCCAGCATAAAGTATATCAATCAATAATACAGAGGGTTGTGAGCCTAATACCAAAAACATAACCATTAACTCGCATTCTGGCAAACTTATAGTCTTCAAATACTTATTAGGATTGTGGAAACATCGATAAACGTGCCTTAGTGCTTTTATGAAAAATTACCAGCAATCATGCTCAGAAGAATTATAGGACTATTACCAGGAAGAGATTACATCTGTTACGAACATCTTTGAGAGTATGGTAAGCAATATTCCATCATTCCTGAATACAGAGTATACATAGAGTATACATGAGCATATAATCCATTCTGTAAGTACAATAGCGCAATCTACTAGTCTTAGAGTACGTATGTGAATAGTCTATTCTTTGAGTACTAAAAACGATTATAAACAACCAATTTAACCGGTATTATATTTTGTCTGTTACAAGTCTTTCAACAAGCCTGTGAAGAGTTGTTTGTACCAGTAGTAGAATATCAACACGTTGAAAAGAGGCCTATCTACCGGTACTAAAGTTTATGACCTTTAGCAATATTCTCGACGGAACTGCTTAAAATGTAGGGGAATTCCTGAATCACAGGGCGACGACACCGATCAACTTATTATCAATGCGTGCAATAAGTACCTGGGGGGTATTATGATAACACAGGACGACATCAGCCGTACCCATCGTGTTGGGCCTCAAATCAAACACTTTCCAAGAGATATTATCGTCAGATTCATCTCGTATAGAACTAGAGCGGCAGTGTGTGATGCCAGATGTATCCTCTTCAGCATAGAGTCAAGCCTGCAACCAACTCGGAACATTCCGAAAATGCACCCTCCAGGCCACAACAAACCACCACGACTTCGCCTAAACTTTAAATAAACGAGGTACTGACTAAAGCTAGAAGCCAAGTATATTCCATTGCTAGATGTCTGAAGTCTCAAAATCTTACATCTGGGACCTGGACCAAAGACGGACGCATCGTAATACGTAGTTCTAGCGGCGAAAAAACATAAATCACACGTCGATGAATAATCTGGATAACCCGACCCACCTCCTAAAAGATCTGGAATACGAACAGCTACATTTGTACTGACTGGATCCCTGGTGCACAATCCACAGGAAATCGTGCAAGAGTGGGAAATTCTACCAACATACAGATCCCCGCTGGTCAGAGACCGCGATATCATACCTGTTCCATGCATACTGGCCCACGCCAGTACTGTTTTTATGTTGTGTGTGCATGTACATGTGCATTTCATAAGTTGATTATTGCAACTGGTCACTGTAGTACTGTACCCGTCATATATACCTTGTACCACATTTGTAATTTGTAACTTGCATTACTTGTAATTAAATTGAACTGATATCATGTAATTAAATTGAACTAATACATATACCAACTAAATGCATACTACTTTTATTATTACCATAGGTTGACCTGAATGTACATGCATACTGTACCACTTCTTTATATACGTAAGCCCAAATCAAACATATACAATGCGTGTATATGTGTGACAACTCATACTTGATTTGCAACCAAACCAAATTCTCAAGAATATTGAACAAGTCTGTTTACATCAAGGAGTTACTTCACCTTAACCCAATCATCACAACAATGTATAAATATATGTCTGTGTTTCTTACCACCTGTTGTCACCTTAAGGAGAGGACTTAGATAGGCCATGCCTGATGTCTGATCCTATTGACTATTGCTTATATTGTCAATAAAATTTGTTGAAATTGAAATTGAAAAACCACTACACGAGTGTGTGTAGATTTGGACAACTGATTTAGTCTCAAAACAAACAAGTGCTTATTTTTCAAGTCCTATTAATTCAAGAAAAACAATCACATTATTTCTCCCTGTGCCCTGTGCATCATTCTGTGTATTTGAATGTCTTATTGTTTTACTTGTTGATACTTTGTTTCTTTTTCCTTTGTTAAAAACATATATATAAACTTTATTTATTTTACAACAATATTGAAACAAGTTATTTCAACTTATATTAATCATTATTGTTGGCCCAGATGTTAGCGCGTCGGGGGGTCTTAGTGTGGGAGGAAACTGGAGTACCCGGGGAAAACCCATGTGGTCGGGCAAGTGACCCCAACCTTTTCATGTCCGATCGGGGAATCGAACCCCGGCCGCCTTGGTGAAAGGCAAGTGCGCTATCCACTGCACCCCACTACCAGCTATTATTATATTGTTATAACCAATAATTAAGATAATATTGTTCGTTTTGCATTAATTGTTTTAAATGTTTGACGTTTCATCAGCATGAAGGCGCTCCCGCAATACTCTCGTCGACATAAATAGGTTCTTATTGCCAACTGCCAACATTACTCCAGGCTTTATCAAACTCTGTCAGTGTCAACAGTTGAACCTGAAATGCCTGATGGGTGATGAGTAATATCAGAGAGGATCGGCAAAAGGTTTTCTCTATCGTACCGGAAAACTTGTGTCGTCAACAGCAGACAAGGTTGGGAGTCCCACATTTCAACAGCGCAGTATGCTTGCTCTGTGTTTTCTAATCTTCGTTTTGCAGGGAGTCGGTAAGACTCATTCTTTTATTATCAATTTACCATATCTTCTATTCTGTGGTAAAATATAACGATCAACATTAGTTAATTGTTTAGTGTTTGTCAATTTAGTCTAAATTCAAAAAAAACCATACAATTGCTAAAGGATCAGGACAATGTATTGACACCGACAGTAGTAATTTAAAACATACTTATATATAATAGAATTCTTTGGTATATGGTTGCGAAAGTTGAGATGGCAAATTTAACTCGTGAACGTTGATAGACATTGTAATGTATTTTACCTTGCATTTCATGCCTGTGTTATAACGAGAAAAGAAGAATACATCACGCTGTTACATATTTAAATTTTTACTTCTGATTGGCACGTAATGCTGTTTTTGGCGTCGTCGTTCGGCTGGTCATGTCCTCGTTTTATGAATTCTTCTTTTCTTCATATTTTGTTATTCATTTGTTTATAATACACTTGTTTCTTCATAGTTGATTGTGTGGTTGATTGCAACTATGAAGTTGACGGGAATTATGAAATTACGTGTCATTCCTACATCTCATGTAGGAGCGGGATTTCTACCCATCATACTTGTCTAACCGGTCAGATGTATAATCCCGTCACAAAGAGATGTGCTAGGTGAGTATCAAACAACATACAAATGATGAGTGCATTGCGTCTTATCTGCGTACGATAAGTGAGTCAGCTAATCTTATCTTTGTTACAAAATACAAGTAATTGAAGATGGACTTCACTTATTTTTTACCGCCAATGTTGTCGATTTAGTCAGGCATCCGTTTGAACCATAGTCTATAATTTTTTGATTTTTTGTTTTACGGCCAATCGACAAAAATAGTCGAACACTTAAAAAGACGGTCACAGAAAGGGACATATATGAAATAAAAACTAAAGGCAATGCGGAAGAGTTAAAGATGCATAACTAAATAAATATTTAAATGAATAAAAACAAAGTAAAGAAAAGGGACAGGCATTGGTTTCACAATAAATAACGAATTATCGTAGAAATATGTGGAATGTTGATAATGCTATTTGAATGGCATAGAAACTGTATTAAATAATCTTTTCATAGTTGGTACATCATGACATAGGTATGCATACATCCATTCAAATTCTGTCTTGGAAAGTCAGAGGCAAATGTTGAATTTGTACAAATATTCAATATATACAAAAAGAAGATTTTGAATTTGAATTAAGAATATGTAATGTGGCAATTTTTTTCAGTATTGTATTTGTTTTTAGTACATTATATACATTGTTCGAGCAAATTCATATTCAATCTTATAGTGCTAGGTGACGATTGAGTAGTGTTGATTGAGTGCTTTTGTTTATTGCGTTCTGTTTTTTTATGAGTCCTTTCCGCTTAATTGTGAATAATGAGTAGTTTGAATGAGTATTCATGTAGTATCATAATAGTAAACAACAATAAAAGGCCTAAAAAAATCGTCATTCACCTGTTGAATACAAAAACATATGAATATTTTATTCTGTTTCGCATTTTTATTCACAAGCACGACGAATTTGCCTCCGCCATGCAACCTTATTCATAACTGCAGTCGTCAGCCCAACAGAAAGTTTGCGGACCAAGAAACTCACTGTCAAACTTACTACACATGTCATAACGGGTACTTCTACGGCCATAACTTCTGTTCCCCGGGTAAGTTTTAAAAGCATTATGCTTACGGCCCCTCCATTCTAATGTCCGTAACCTAAGGTTAATGTCATATTGAGGTCAAGGGTTAAACTCTTTGTCCGGGCAATACCATTAGAGCCGCTGAAGATAGCTCAATGAAATTTAAAAATAGCCGTTAATAATTGTTAAGCATTTTTTTGCATAACACGCTAGTGCCAGTACATCCAAAGTCAAGGTCACATGAAGGTTAAAGATCAAATTTATGGTCCATCCTTTAAGATTTGACATGCTAAAGGTAACTAAATAATTTT